AAAAAAAAAAAAAAAATTCCAATTTCTATAGCAATGGTAGAATACCTCACCCAAAACAATGACATCTGAACAAAGTAAGCAGGCCTGACCTAACACTCTGGAGGCCCTGCAGGGAATATGACCTAGCATTTATATTCCATGAAAGATGTCTATAGGGAAACTGCAAATCAATTTGGCAAGAACTTTTACAATACTCCCATCTAGAAGAATTCCAATTCATCTGAGTATATTAAAGATGTGAAATCCCATAATACAAAAGCCTGTTTAACTTTGTTTACCAAACTGTTCACAAATTTAGTCAATGTTTTTTCTTTCTTTCTTTTTTTAACACAACACCTATTGATAGACCAAGGAATGACTACAGTTCTATAAAACAGACTTTGGGGTTGTTTTGTGGCAGCCCCAAATTAGGGTGTTCACATAACGTTTGCCTATTTCAAAGAAATTACCTGGAGGACAGGCAGGTAGAGACATGAGTTTATTATTATTGACAGGAGGGAAGCAAAAAATTTCCCACACCTCTACAGACATGGCGATAGATTATACACCCCCAGTGTGGGAAAGGGGGCAAGATACAGCACTAGCATTACAAGCAAAGAAGCAGAAATAAGGATGTTTACTCTAGAAAAGCCATGGGCTGGGCATGGTGGCTCAAGCCTGTTATTCCAGCACTTTGGGAGGCTGAAGCGAGGACTGCTTGAGCCCAGGAGTTTGAGACTAACCTGGGCAACTTGATGAGACCTTGTCTCTACAATAAATCAAAAAATTAGCTGGGCTGGGTGGCACGGGCCTGCAGTTCTGGCTACTTGGAAGGCCAAGGCAGAAGGATCACCTGAGCCCAGCTGGTCGAGGCTGCAGTGGCCATGAGCGTGCCACTGCACTTCAGCCTGGGCAACAGAGTAAAACTCTAACTCAAAAAAAAAAAAAACAGCCTTGAGTCCACAGATGTGCATACCTTCAAAGACATTTTGACTAGACACACGTGGTCTTGGCCAAGGGCCCTTCACCCAGTCAAGAAAGTCATCAGCTGGAGAGGGGGAGCCAGGCATATGTCCTGCATTTACCCCACAGGGGTAAACCCCTGAAAGCACTCTGAAGAAGCTCCATTCTAACCAAAGCCTTCCGCAGATTCTACTTTATGTTCCCCTGGGACCGATCACTACAAAGGAGCACAGAATCCCACAGACTGTGCACTATAGCCTCTCACTCTGAGAATTTGGCTTCTGGCCCCAGACATGAGACACCTTGGAAAACGAAAGTAAAAAAAGAATAGAAGGAGATGGATGCAGCGGCTCCCACCTGTAATCCCAGCACTTTGGGAGGTGGAGGCAAGAGGATTGCCTGAGTCCAGGGGTTCGAGACCAGCCTGGGCAACTTGATGAGACCTCATTTCTTCAATAAATGAAAAGATTAGCCAGGCATGGTAGTGCACATCTGTGGTTCCAGCTACTTGCAAGGCTGAGGCAGAAGGATCACATGAGCCCAGCAGATCAAGACTGCGGTAGTAGCCGGGCTCAGGGACTCGGCCTGTAATTCCGTACTTTGGGAGACTGAGGTGAGTGGACTGCCTGAGCCTGCGGGTTCAAGGCCCACCTGAGCAACTTGATGAGAACTCATCTCTACAATAAATCAAAAAAATTAGCCGGGTGTGGTAGCACATGCCTGTAGTTGCAGCTATTTGGAAGGCTGAGGCGGAAGGATCGCCGGAGCCCAGCAGGTTGAGGCTGCAGTGGCCGGAAGCAGTCTGGGTGACAGAGTGAGACTCCAACTCAAAAAAAGAAAAAAGACTGCGGTGGTACCACTTGCATTCCAGTCTGGGTGACGGAGACTCCTACTCAAAAAAAAAAATAAAAAGAATAGAAGGGAAACTATTTCTCCTAATAACCACAATTGCATTCTTAAGAATGTGGAGGCTGTTTTAGATAACAAAAGATTGGAAGACATTTGTATTCCAGCTGAGCACCTTGATGTGTTCTAGAAAGGTCAAAACAGGACTTGAGCTGAGTTTGGCAGCAAAGGGTGGAGAGAGTTGAATTGCTCTGTGTTACAGAAGAGTTTAGCATTTGCCAGCTTATCTCATGGCTGAAGGCAGTAGAATAGGAGATGGGGTAAGAGAATGGGAAGACAATCTAAGCAGAGGGTCAGAGGCTGAGATGATAACTGTCAGCAGGCATAGCCAGTGTGACATCCCTGGTAGTGGATAGGTCCAACAAACTTATTTACATAAAACGTGCTCTGTTTACTATGTGGCACATATATTGTACAGTGAGATAATTTCTTCTTGTATTCAAGATAGCTTGGCGCTTCTCCCATATTTTAATACACATCAAGATGGAGCTCAAATAACAGGTTTTTTTTTTTGTTGTTTTTTTTTTTGAGTTGGAGTCTCACTCTGTCACCTAGGCTGGAGTGCTGTGGCACATTCATGGCCATCACAGCCTCAACCTGCTGGGCTCAGGAGATAATTCCACCTCAGCCTTTCAAGTAGCTGTAACTACAGGCATGCGCCACCACACCCAGCTAATTTTTTGATTTATTGTACGAGATATTGGCAAGTTGCCCAGGCTGGTCTTGAACCCCTGGGCTCTGGCAATCCTCTCACTTCAGCCTCCCATTCAGGTTTAAGACCTAGAGCTTTATGAAGCTGAGTTAAGAGGAAAAAGTTAATCACAAGAAACCACATATGGTATAATTCCATTCATATGAAATGTCCAGGGAGGCAAAAAAGAGTAGATTAGCGGTTGCCAGGAGCTCAGAGAAGAGGAAATAGGAAGTGACTGCTTCATGAGCATGGGGTTTCCATTTGGGATGATGATTATGTCCAAGGCTTAGCAATAACATTTCTTCTCCTTTTATACCACACCCCCCCATCTGTTTAGTCCCCACCTAAGAAGTCTTAAGCTGCTTCATGACAGCTACTAGAAAGGCAAACAGCTTCATTACATACCAGTCAATCAAAGCTGAAGAACAACGGTATAAAAAAGGTTGCTACTGAGAGTAAATGTGGAAGATGGTAGTAAAGAATATTTCTTCTATGATACGACAATTACAAACACAAAACGATATAGCATTACATCACACTGAGATGATATACTTACTCTAGACCAGAGTTTCATAGCTTAATGGTTTGCCATGGGGGCTGTGCATTGTAGGATGTTTAGCAGCATTCCTGGTCACTACCCACTAGGCAGCAGCATCCCCAAGTCACGACAATCAAAAATGTTTCCAGACATTTTGACCCTGGGTGGCAAATGGCTCTCAGATGAAAGTCACTGCTCTAGACTCAGCATCTTGTCCAACATTAGTGCGTGTAAAATGATATACCCTAGGGTCATAAGTTGGGTTGGGAAATGAGAGAAGACAAAACCACCTAGATCTTTTGGGATTGCTATGGGTCAACTTCATACACCCCAATGCTGGAAAGGATTGTGAGAAAATGAAAGCAGAGAGAGCCGAAATCTTGAAAGTACCTTCCTAGGATCAGAACAATGGCCACCTAAACAAAGGGGAGTTGGAATAAAGAACCAAACTAGCCGGGCGCCATGCCTGTGGTTCCAGCTCCTTGGAAGACTGGGGCAGAAGGATTGTCTGAGCCCAGCAGGTCAAGGCTGCAGTGGCTGTGAGCATGTCACTGTACTCCAGCCTGGGTGACACAATGAGACTCCAACTCAAAAAAAAAAAGCAACAAGCACCTGGTGATACATCTAATGTCACTGCTCTGTTGATTTAATTCCCTTGTGGATCAATGATGCTCAAAGACCAGTAAAGAAATGGTCCCTGCCACCTGCATGCTGGATGCCTATCATGTCTGCCCTTGGGATAAAGGCAGCTATTCAAATATTGTCAGAGAGTTTCAGGTATTTGTGATGAAAAGAAAGAGAGGCACTGCCTACCTGAGAGTCCCATTCTCTCCTTTGTCCAGGCTGGTGAACCGGCTGTAGAGGCGAGTGATTTGACTGTGGGAAACTAAAGAGCACAAAATTAGTTCCAGCTGAGGAAATAGCTGTCACCCACTCCCCACTGTCAATTGTTTCAAATTTAGTAAGATTTTTTTTCTTTCTTTCTTTTTTTTTTTTAGGAGCACAAGAATGTTGACCCTCTGTACCCCAACACATCCCCCACAATCCCTTACCCCTGTGGTGGAGGAAAAATTTAGTAAGACTGGGAGATTTTGCAACTCTAAGCTATATCTAGACTCTAGATTCTAGAGTGTCAAAGCAGAAAGTATAAACACTAAAGGAGGAAAGGAGTTAGAAGATAAACTAAATCAAAACTGAATTTCAGTCACGCCACTACACTCCAGCCTGGGTGACAGAACAAGACCCTGACTCTCAAGAAAAAAAATTGAATTTCTGGAATGATCTAGGCTTAAATAAGAGTATAAATTAAAAGTCAGGTAGTTTTTTTTTAAATCTTTTTTTTTTCAAACGTCAGGTAGTTAAGAATTGACAAAACAGAGACAAATGTAGTTTAAATTCAAAATTTACATTTCAATGCTTTGACTTAGAAGCCATAAAAATGCATGCTTTGATCAAAAACATACTTATAATCAGTTTGGTGTTTCAGGCTGTACCCCTGGGTAGGTGACTTACACCGAATTAAAGATTGGGGTGTCAAACAGATTCTATTTTAAAAATCTGGTTTAGGCCAGGTGTGGTGGCTCATACCTATAATCCCAACACTTTGGGAGGTTGAGGTGGGAGAATCGTTTGAGGCCAGGAGTTCGAGACCAGTCTGGGTAAAACAGATCTTGTCTCTACGAAAAATAAACAAACAAAACAAAAAACAAAATTAGCCAGGCGTGGTGGCAATTGCCTGTAGTTCCAGCTACTCAAGAAGCTGAGATGGATGGATCACTTGAGCCCAGAAGCTCGAGGTTGCAGTGAGCTGGCATCATGCCACTGGCACTCAGTCTGGGTGACAGTGAAATCCTGTCTTAAAAAATAAAATGAATGTAATTCTGGCTACTTGGTAGGCTGAGGCGGAAGGATCGCCGGAGCCCAGCAGGCGAGGCTGCGGTGGCCGGGAGCGGCCACTGCACTCCAGTCTGGGCGACCGAGTGAGACTCCGACTCAAAAAAAAAAAAAGAAAAGAAAAAAAAGAAATATGATAAAATCTGGTTTACTTCTGCATCAAACATTAAAGGCTCTATCCTTTCCCTCAGGATGAACCTTTGGGTAAAAGATCACCACAGCCTCAGATCAACCTTTTTTCTGTGACTGCATGAGAACTTCACTGAGTTCCCAGGAAAGGAACTGGCTCCAAGGAGGCAAATTAGGCAAATTTGTACAGTGGTCATGCTACCATTAAATGACATCTACTGCTGGGAGCGGTGGTTCATGCCTGCAATCCCAGTACTTTGGGAGGCCGAGGTGAGAGAATTGCCTGGGCCCAGGGATAAAGACCAGACTGGGCAACTCAGTGAGACCTCATTTCTACAATAAATCAAAAAACTAGCCAGGCGTGGTGGTGCACTGCTGTGGTTCTAGCTATTTGGAAGGCTGAGTGGAAGGATCACCTGAGCCCAGCAGATCAAGGCTGCGGTGGCCATAAGCGTGCCACTGCACTCCAGCCTGGGCGACAGAGTGAGACGCCAACTCAACAACAAAAAAGACATCTACCAGAAAGTTATTTTGCTCCTAATTTTTTTTTTTTTTTTTTTTTTTTGAGTCGGCATCTCACTCTGCTGCATGCAGTAGCACACTCACGGCCACTGTAGCCGCAACCTGCTGGGCTCGGGTGATCCTCTGACCTACGCCTCCCAAAGTGCTGGGATTATAGGCATGAGCAACAACTTCCAGCTTACTCTACATTTTGAATGAACTATATAAACTCAGGCACAAGTGGACAATTAAAATGAGTTAATAAACTGCAGGCATATAGCAAAACTTTGAAAATTCAAAAAGGGCCGGGCACAGTGGCTCACGCCTATAATCCCAGCACTTCAGGAGGCCAAGGTGAGAGTATTGCCTGAGCCCACGGGTTCAAGACCAGCCTGGGCAACTTGGCGAGACCTCATCTCTACAATAAATTTAAAAAGA